ATTCCAAGATTTGACCCGGCCCAATTTTTTTTAAATATTAGGCCCGACCTAGCCCGAACCCGATTTTCTACTTTTGCAGATCTCTAATTTGAATATTTTGCTTTAAAAAATAATATTATTTGTGTTCTGATGTAGGAACTATTAAAATTATCATCCTAAAATATAGTTATATGTTTTTTGGGAACTTGCAGTTCCATCTCCGTTTTTATGAAATGAAATGTATATATTTTATAATATAAAATGACATAAATTAAAAATTCATGAAAAAGCTTTTTTGTTCAGCAAAAATAAGGATGTTATAATATATAGTATCATGAGTAATTTTAATTAATATTATTTTTGACTATTTTTTTAATTTGCATACATATTAATATCTCTGACTTTTTTTTCTATTATTTTTTTATCCTCACTTTATTAATGTGGTTTTCTAGATCGGGATGATCCCTTAGTCATTTTCAAAGATTAATTAAACTCGTAGTTCCTAGATTAAAAACATTTTATTTCATCATTTTGCGATGAAAGAAAGCTTTATAAAACATATTTACCTATTTTCTTATAAATTTTTATGTTTTCATGAATTATATAGTGTTATATATAATTTTTCTTTCATTTTGTAATTTATCAATTTATCTTTTCTTCCAAAATAATTAAAAAAACTTTTACATGAATTTTTAATTTATATCATTTTATCTTATAAAATATATATTCATATTCTGTTGTAAATAAAACCACTATTTTTGTTATATAAAAAATATACAAATTGAATTTAAAAAAATGCTTCACCTGGCGGAAATATTTTTGTTATTTTATTTTCTTATAAATTGTTTAATTTATATAATTCATTTTCTACATTTATCAAAATGTGAATTTTTACAATAGTTAATTATTTTTATATTATATCTTTTTGATAAATGTTATTGTAAAAACTGGTTTTTTAGAAATCCATTGGTTTATTCATGATAAATCATAATTTATAACCATAAAAGTAAAAACGTATGAAAAAATTAAAAATAAAATTATATAAAAACTAGATGATAACCCGTCAAGAATGATGGGGAATCAGAATTTTCTTTTTTACTCAATGATTTTTTTTTCGGAAAAACCCTCAGATGGCAGATTCAAGAATTGCTCTCATAAGGGTAAAGTATTTTAAAAGACCTATTATCAAATCCTAACAATGAATAATAGCTCATTGCAATGGGGTGGGTACCACCAGTGTAGTTGAGATAAACTTTGTGGTGGTATCCATCATTGCAATTGGCTATTTAGAAGATTATCAGCAAAAATAATAGCCATGGGTCAAATCAAGGGTCTTAATTTATTAGATATATTAAATGTTAAGGGAGAAGTCAAAATAGCATAAATTTCATATTATAATCAGTATCCTCTTCCTAGCATTGATATTATCAAGGTATACTTTAAAAATGATTTTAATAATAAATTTCGAGAATATTTCATTAAATGTTTAACTCCTAAATTCCTAGACATACTGTGACATTAAAACTCTCCTTTATTCAGCTTACATGTCATAGACTCTGATAAAAGGATCCAGCAGGGGTGGGGGAGTAATCACATGTCCTCTCTTATTTTACTTTGGTATTCGTGATCTCATCAAAAATAAAATAATTGAAGTTTAAATTTCTTTGAAGCCAATTTTAAAAGACTCATTCTTAATAAATCCAAACTGCTTCCAATGATAACAATTAGTGCAAAAATAACAGACCTATTATATTTCATAGAAGTGATAACTCATAAAGTGTGATGTTTTTATTTTAACAACTCCAGTAGCAGAAATATGGTCGTAAAAAGTTTTAATCACGAATTTAAATTTTTGCATGTTAAAAGTTACTTTTTAATTTTTTTACTAATAAAATTTACATAAAAGTTACTCAAACTAAATATCAATTCAATATTATAAAGTAATCTCAATTTTATCATGTATAAAAATATTGATAATATTTATGGTAATTTAATATCTTAAAATTAATTTTAATTAAATGCGACCCCTGGGCAGGATTTGACTGGGTGTGTATTTTTTAAGCAGGGATTATTTTGAACAAAAAAAAATTCAACTATATTTATAAGAACGTCAGAAACCTTGAGTTGACGGGTAACGTCACAAATGACAATATGAAGAGAATTGTGCAAATTATATGACAGTTTTTAGGTTGCAGCAAGTTCTTTTGTGATATATATAATATAGATAAACCTTATAAATTCAACATTTGACAATTAATTTCATATATTAATTTAAGATTAGCATTTTTATATAAAAAAAATTTTAAAATCTAAAAATAAAGCACTGCGACAAGCACCGTAAAAGGGTAAGATGTACATCGGATGTTTTTTATAAAGGTTAAATTTTCATTTTTTTAAATTTTATAATTAATAAAAAAATAAAATATTATTTTCTTAAATATTATTTCCGTAGAGATATACGTAAAGAATAAAACTAAACATTTTGGAAAATTTACTACATCTATTTATTATAGCACATAAATTTTTTTATGTACAATATAACCTCGGTTTCCCCTACTACAAAAAATTTATGGATTAGGTAGTTATTGTAATATTTGGTCTTTTTATAATTTATAAACAAAATTATATGAACTATAAAAAAAGAAAGGAAGAGGTTATTAAAACATTTACTATATATAAACTAATCATATAATAGCTTATTACAAGTAATTTTTTATATAGTCGAATATCATAAAATAACTTACAATATAACCAACCATATCATTTTAATTTGTCTTTTATATTACTTAGAATTAGTGCTGTGAATTAACGTCTTAAAAGTAACGTCGTTACTAACGACGTTCCTTTTTTTGAAGAAAAGGAACGCCATTCTCTTCATCTAAAGGTAACGAGTAACGGTAACACGTTTCTTTTTTTGAGTAACGGTAATGCAAAACGTTACTATACTCGTTACATATTTTTTCTTAAAAAATATCAATAAAAAGAAAAACATATTTTATTATATTACAAAATTACTTTTATTTATTTTTTAATTCTTAATATTAATAATTTAAGCCGAGTTTTAATTCATATCAACCACTTCTGTTCATTATAAAACTATTTCAAAAATTACATTTTCTAAATGTAAGCTTTTGTGGAATAAACATGGGCAATCTTCTAACTGTGCAGCCATTTTTAAGGAAAATATGGGAAGATATTTGATTAAACCTGTTATAACAAGATGGAATTCTTTCGATAACTCTGTAAAATTAATAAATAGTCTTATTAAGGTGAATTACCAAAAATTTGATGAATCTTGCGACAAATCTGGATTACAGAGATTTTCAGATAACGATAAGTCGTTCATAGATGAATATTGTATGGTTAGTGTTAATTAAAATGTATATATATGATTTTATAGGTTATGGAACCGATAGCTATGGCAGACAGCGAAGAAAATATGCTTTGGGATATCTCACTCCCACTATAACCATTATAATATCAAAACTTAAAAAATTGGCTGTAAAAAATTTTAAGTTGTAAGCCGCTTATTGATTTAATCCTGGAAGGCATAGATAAAAGGTATATTGTTCAAATATTGCTTATAATTTATATTTTGACTATCATATTTTCAATAGATTCAAACACATCTATGATGATGAATATATACTATCGGCAATAATTCACCCACTATTTAAATTGGATTGGCCTTGGATAAAATTAGAGGTCATAAAGGAAGAATGCTGGAACTTATTTCCAGTTTGAGAAAAGAAATTGATAAAGAAAGAACATGATTCCTTTACTAACACACACTAGAATTTTTTCAGATAATGATAAATTTTTTTTTGATGAGGAAATGAATGAAGATCTCTATGAAGATGATCTTTCAAGCTTTTTTCAAAATAAAGATATTTCCTTGAATATTTTTAATTAATTCCCCGAATTGAAATTTTTGTTTATTAAATATAACAACACTCTCCCATCCTCTGCGCCAATTGAACATGTGTTTAGCACGGCGAAAGCTGTGTTGAGTACTAAGCGCTCATGTTTATCTGAAATTTTGAAAATCAATTGTTGTTAAAAATAAATAAAAATTGTTACATAAAGATGTTATCTTATAATATATTATTTTTGTATATTCATAATCATATTATAATTATATATGAAAATTTTATTATAAAAAGATGTTATCTTATATGTTCTTTTTGTATAGTTTTATTTTATTATATATTGTCGGAAAAAAATAAATATTTTTGCATTATATATAATATTTAATTTTTTTAAGTAACGAGTAGCCCGTTACTTTTTTGAAAAGTCGGTAACGCTCGTTCTTTTTGTAAAATGGTAACGAGTAACGGTAACGCGTTTCTTTTTTGTAGTAATGTTTACAGCACTACTTAGAATATTCGATATTTTATGGTGATGGTAAAAAATTAATGAGTTTAAATTTAGTTAAATATTATTGGGGAAAAAATGAAGATTAAAAATTTTTAAAAATAACAACCAAAAAAACACTTAAAAAACGTTTAGATAAACGAATAGCGGTAAGGAGAAAGGAGGTGGGCATTTAAAAAATATTTAGGTAGATAAGGCGATTTCCCCCAAAGAGGGAAATGGAAGAAAAACTGAATATACCAATAATTTAAATCTGAAAGTAATTCGTTTTGGCGTATGCCAACAAGTTAATTATGAAATATCCAAATTTTTCTATTTTATATGTGATTTAATAGAGTTTTGTTATGTTTGCTTTATTTTACTATTTTTTTATATTATGTTATAATAATTCTTTGAACATAATTATTAGAATTTTAGAAAAAGATTAATATAAAAAAAAATTAATAGTGGTGAAATCGACTTGCAAAAACTATAATTTATTTTTATAAATACTTTTTTCGAATTTTTTTCATAGGTATTTAGTTTTTCTATTTGAAATACATTCTTTTAAAACATATTTGTATCTATATTTAAATGGTATATTTTTTGAAAAATTTTCTCAACCTGTGTTGTACATTTTCAACAATTTTGAAATAAAAAAACTTTACCGATTTTTTATCGTATTCTAAAAGGATATACTTCAAGTCCATCGAAAAATCGAAACCGTTTATGTTTGAAGATTTCTATTATATAAAAATATTCAGTAATTATATTGAACTTCATAAAATAATATATTAACTTAATCCATAATTATTACCAAAAATTGGTTATTAACAACAGTTTTATATATTCTATTTGAAGTATTGAACACTTGTATTCCAAGATTTTGATCGTGGTAAGCGAACTGGTTATCTAAATAATTGCATTAAATTAAAACTAATTATAATTTCTGAAAATAATTTGAAGGGCATATCAAAAGCCTAATAAGATGGGTGTGTTTATCGCACAGCTGAAAGATCGGATAGAAAATATCGATTGGTAAACCAAACAATAAATTATTTGTCGAAAAAGGCAAAAGTTACGATCCATAAAGGAAGAGGACCTTACTAATATTACCTAAGAGGCAATAAATATGCAAAATGATATAAAAAGCACGCAAATAACGAAACTAAGCAAAAAGTAGGAAATAAAAGAAAGCACAAAAGCGCAAAAAATGGGCAAAATTTCAAAAAATATATGATGCAAAAGGTGCTCAAAATTAAACAAAATCACAAAAAAGCCAATATGGTGCTAAATTTTATAAAAACACTCATAATGACGCAAGAACCTAGAATTACAGATAAGCACGTATGCAAAAATGCTAATTAAAAACAAGCAAAATTACAAAGTTTCAGAAAAGCACACAAAATGTAGATTTCAGAAAAAGAGGAAAAATGAGGTAAACCTAATGCAAATTTTTAGAAAGCACGCAAATTGACGCAAAAACGACTATTTCAACTTAATTTTTGAATATTTTTGAATTTAATTTTTTAGTATTTTCTAACAATTTTTTTAAAATCGAAATCAACTTATTTTTAGATTATTATCTTTTATATTAATTTTTGAGATCGATTTTCCTTTTTTTGCCTATTTTTTTATATTCTCTTTCATTTAGTATTTGCAATTTTTGGTGACTTTTTTTCACAGTTACCTTATTTTCTGAAAAACATTTTTTTTGCCAAAATAATGATATTTTAAATTCATTTTGGTATTATTTAAATGCTAATATAATCCACAAAAATGACAACTGACAATTGTCATTATGGTCATTTTAAAACTTTTTTAAATTTGTTTATTGCCAAAATATTTTTCAAATATATTTTGATATAAAAGTGTACTAAAAATCTAGCTAACATAAAAAGGAATCAAATTAAGGTATTCTGAAAAAGCGGTTAACAAAATTAAATCGAAAAAGGACAATTAAGGGAGTAACAAGAAAATAAAAGTCACCAAAAATTGAGTAAAATAAAAAAAATGGTATAAAAATTTAAACATTAAAAATATACCGATTACGTTAAAACAAAAGAGAATCAAAAATAATATTTAAAAAAATGAAAATAAATCGAATAAGAACAAAATATGAAATAATAGGGAGGAAAACCCAATAAAAATTTTTAAAAATGAGATAAACCTGAAGAAATCAAAAGAAATATTTATTTTAAATTAAAGTATCAATATAAAAAAGTTGAAATGAAAGGAAATATCGGAAAAGATCAAAAATGAGGCAAAAAAAGAAGAAAAACAAAAAAATGTTTTAAAAAATTGAATTAAAATAAAAATGAATCATATTTAGAAAAGCACGCAAATGAGTATATCGTAAAAATATAGGGAATTTTCCGAGAATTTTGGAAAATTACAAGGGATTTTGGGAAATTTTGAGGAATTTGTAAAAATGTTCCAAATTGGCTAAAAATTTTAAAATGTGAACAAATTATTTTGAATAAGATATAAGCCTTAAACTACAATATATTAATTTTTTAATGGATACACTTTTATTTAATATTTGATATTATAATAGGATTATATATGTAAAATTAATTAATCGAAGAATGAGTAGTTCAGCTCATGCTTCTTTTAAATGATATCATTATCTACAGGTGATATAATTTATTTTCTACAATTTCAGTAGTTGAAATAATTATATGATTATATTTAGTATCAATAATTTTTTGTTGTAAATATAAATTATATATTATGGAAATTTACTTTTCCTTCCACGCGTTTATTGATGTCTATTACGATTTTTGCATTGGATTTTTTAAATAATGGAAAGTGACGCAAATATTTAGAAGAGTATGTAAAATGGCACAATTCAAAATAATATAAAAGAGCAGGAAATGACGTTAATTTTAAAAAAGCCTGTAAAATGACTCAAAGGATATAATAATGCAGAAAGTATGAGAATTTTATGCTGCAAGCAAAATGAAGCAAAATTACCCAAAACTTCAGAAGAGTATGCAAAATGCCAATAATTAGTAGAATCACATAAAAACAGGCTAAATGAAGCAAGATGACACAAAAATACGCAAGGCCTCAGAAAAACATGCAAAAGGCTGGATAAAGTTACTCAAAATAGCAGAAAAGCATTCAAAAAAATTAATGCAACAATTCAGAAAGCACGATTTCAGCTTAATTGAATCATTTAAATGTTGCGTAATATAGCAAAATACCTCCTCTAATATTTCTTTATTTGAGTAAGTAACCAAGATATGAGTACTTTTTTGATTTTTTTAAAATTTTAAATAGAATTAAATTTTCTTCAATTTTCTGAAAGATTATGAGTGTCTATGATTCATTTTTATTTTAATTAAATTTTTCAATACTTTTTTTTCTTTAGATTTTCTTCATTTTGCCTTATTTAATTATTATTACATTTTGCGTAGTTTGTGAATTCTGCGCACTTTGTGACCTATTTTGCTATCTTTTTAAATCATTTTTTGTCATGAAATATTCCAAACAAGGAAGTGAAAAGTTTAATTAAGAAAGTATCAAAGGGTAATAAAAATGTTGAATAAAAGAGAAAAAAATCTTCTCGAAGAAAAAGATCATAAAGAAAAAACAAGCCCTATATGACAAAGAAAAATGTTAAATCAAAAAAAGAAAACTTCTATTCAAAAAAGTGTAAATCATCATTATTTTTATTCTTGAATTTTTAATCATCTTCTTTCTATTTCTAATTTTTTGTCCATATTTCTATATGCCAATTTTCTAAATTTAATATTTTATATATTCTCGATCTCATTTTCAACTTTATCAATCTTTTGTCCTATAATATATTTCTCAAAAATTATTATTTCTTTCCTAATATCTTCTATAATTTTTGATCATTAGTTATTGCAGAAAATCTTCGAATTTTTTGTAAATTTTCTCTTTTGTTAACTTTTCTTTTATTTTCATTTATTAGAATCTTTCTATTTCTCTTATCCTGTATTAGATTTTCTCTTAATTGTAATATATTATATAATATTTGTTATCCCTCTTCGATGTTCTTATATTTTTATTATCAAAATTTTTATCACACATAACCTACCATATATAATTTTCTTTTAATCGTCCATTTCTTTTTATAATGCAATTTTTGTTTTTATTTTTTTTATCATTTATAATTAAAAATACTTCTTCCTTCTCTTTTAATCTTATAATCTTTCTATGATTTCTTGTTTATATCTATCTTTTTTAAATCAATTTTATACATTTAATTAAATTCATGTTTATTAAAATCATTCTATTTCTCTAACTCCTTTTAAAATCATTCTATTTCTCTAACTTCTTTTAAAATCATTCTATTTCTCTAATTTCTTTTAAAATCATTTAAGATTTTCTCTTTATATACTTCTACCCTTGTGTTTTGTATAAGACATTTAAAAAAATAAAATCCCCATAGATAGTAGACATATTTTTTCCATATTATTTTTTAAAAAGATATGGCCTAGTTCCCAAAATCACAAAGTCTGAAAATGCCCACAAGTACCAAAAAACGTTATTTGAGGCTGGATATTTGTTTGATTCCACCTTTTCTGCCGGTCAAAGCAGTTTTGGTATTTGACATTCTAGGGGCAAACCTTTCTCATATGGGATTAGGGTTAACTTATCTGACTAGTGTTGTTAAACGGCTCATTTTGAGCCGATTTTTTAAAACGGTTAACTTAATATTTTAGCCAGAAAAATATTGTCTAAGCCTCGAGATTTCGATAATACATGTCTGTTCCTTCTATGAGCAAAATCTTCAGGCTTGCGTAATATTTTTCTGGATAAAATATTGAATCAGCCGTTTTTAAAAATCGGCTCAAAACGAGCCATTTATCAACACTACATCTGACATATGGCAGAAGTGTACCGCAGAAATATTAAGGCCACCGAAATTCCCTTTCTGATCGGGACTTTTCATTTTTTGATATATTTAATAAAATATTACCTGATATCCACTTATAATGAATAGATTTTAATTCGAATTCTAATTTCAGAAAATCTTGAAATGATAGCGGAGATTTTGATGGTTCATTCACATGTTCTAAATATTATTTATATTAAAGATGTGTCAAAATAATGAGATTATCAATAACTTTTATTATTGAAATAGATAAATTAGATTTTTGTTATCAAAATCAGTAAAATGAAGATTTATTATGTAATTTTTTTTAATTAAATCAATTATCTAAATATTTAAAATCCATAATAAATATATATTTATATTTTAAGATGTGATGCGATTAGATGTGTATTGTCATCGCTTATATAATAAAAAGCTTTTGTCACACGGATTCTCAAATTATATTTCTAATAATTTATTTTTAAAATTGTCTTTTTGGGGTCTAGTGAAAGTAGATATGTTCCACATAGGTATCAATCGATACCTAATCAAAAGAATCTATCAAAAAAGGATCAACATTTTCTCCTTAATGGGCGAGTCTAGGTCTAGTGGGTCAGTAATATTTTAATCAACACAAAATGGGTATCAAATAAAAGCTAATTTAAATATATTTTAACCTGAAGTATTCACTCTTGGGTTTAATGGGTTGAACTTGGTTAGGGGTGAGAGAAGGTGGGGGTAAAAAATACAAATTTAATATGGGTATCGAATTAGGCAATTAAAATATCTTTTTATTGCAATTATAATTATCACTCTAAGTAGTCGGGTCTTGTTCTTGGGGGGTCAGGAATATTTTTATCAACACAAATTATTGATATGGGTATCAAATAAAAGCTAATTAAAATATATTTCGACTCAAATAATAGAATTCTCCCTTTGTCTTAGTGGGTTAAACCTGGTCTGGAGGAGGGGGGGTTAGAATTCAAAAATTTGATATGAGTAACAAATAAAAGGTAATTTATACATTTTGATTTAAATAATAGTATTCACTCTTAGACATAATGGGGACCTTCCATCTTTGACTTATCACGAATAAGCTTGTTTTAAGAATTGCCCATTAATTTAAGATAATTATCATGGCTGTGAAAAAAATATTTTATTAAAAATATTGGTTTTAAATTAGTATTATTAAATTTTTTCGATTGATAGTGGAAATTTCTCAATCCATACACGAGGGTTAAAACAATATTTTTCTAAAAACATGTTTTTGGAACGGATAAAAAGAAATAGGCAGTATTATTATACTACAAATCTTTTAAGAGTACTTATAGTTGATTGTGTTCATTTTCTTGACTCCACGAGGAAAAATAAAAAATTTAAATAGCATAATTTAGGATACCGATAAAATTTTTTGATAATAAATAATTTTAGCAAAACCTTTAGGAGTAGTTAATAAATAGTGGAAATATCTTTTCTTCCGAAATACAATTTTTTTAATAACTTGGTATTAAACTGCATAATAAGATTTAGTTTGTCAATTTAATTCTTTCTCTCGTAGAATAATAAAAATCATATTATTCATTTCAAATTATTCCGAGAGATTTTATAATACTCATCTCTTGCCCAAAACCTTTTATCTGGTCCAAAACAAAGTGGTTTGAAAAAATTTATTTTTCCTTGTGGGATAAAGAAAGTTGTTACTATCCCCATTACTACTCTCAAATCATTTACGGTGCTGTTCTACTACCCAAAACATTTATCTGGTCTAATATCAAGTCTTTCAAAAAACTTGAGGTGTAGGGGAGATGTTCCATAAATGGCCATGTTTTTGCTTTTATCAAAAAAAGGCATTACGATTTGGGTTCAAACAAATTTTATATAAATGTGTAGCCCAATTCTTAATCTTTAAAATAAAATTTGAATCAAAGCTTTATCTATACTAATTTATGAGCTAGATGAGAATATGTGAAAGTTGTTTTGCTGACCAGTTAAAACATGGTATATATTGACTGGCCATATGCTATGTATTAACTGGCTATAATGTATTATTTAAGAATTTTATTATAAATATCAGTTGTTAAAGTATCTAGATATAAAAATGTGGTATCGGTATAGATAGATTTTTGATTAAAATATCTGTATCTAGAAATTTTTTTGGACATATCTGTATCGGTTTTTAGATACTTTTTAAGATACATTTTGATATAATTTTATTTAACGCTTTTTATATAATAAACAAAAATACTTGAATTCAAAATTTATTTTATTTCATATGAGCATATAATTTCGATATATATATATTAAAAAATATTAAGGCTACAAATTATATATATATGTATAAAATATTAAAACATATATAAAAAAATAGATATAAATATTCATTAACATTAAATATTATGTCAGAGTTTATCAATAAACCAGACAAATTTTAATATTACAATGCAACTCAAGAAATCTGCCATTTTTATTTTCAATGGAATTAGTTAATTTTATTTTATTATACTAATTTTAAAAAGTATTTTAGATTAATATTAATAGTGATGAAGAGGAAGAGGAAGAGGAAGAGGAAGAGGAAGAAGTAATAATCAATGCAACAAGTTCAGACATTTTTTCATGCCCAATTTATTGAGCATATTTTAAAATAATATCTCAAAATAAATAAAACAAATCTCTAATAGTAAAATGTTTGCCATATCTACTAAAAAATACAAAAATTTCAGTTAGCATTATCTCAACTTGCAACATTGTAAAACATTTAAGGCTATAGATACTAAATAAATGTTTACGATTGTAATTTTTAATTTTAAGAGAAAAAATCAAACACTGAAACAATTAATACAAAGATTAGTTGATGAATTATCAAGGTCTTCAACTGATTGCAAACAAATAACCTACGAAAAAAAACAATTAATTTAATATCCTATATTTTTAGTACCTCACAGCAGCAGATATGATTGTTAATAATGATTTAAATTTTGATACTTATCAAATTTTAAAAATGAATTTCCAGATTTTAGTATTTTAAGAGAATAAATATCCTGATATAAAATTGTATTCATAAAATATAACAACACAATCCCTTCAAGTGCTCCAGTAGAAAGGCATTTTAGTGTAGCTAAAAATGTCTTCACGGATTAACGAGGATGCTTTAATGACCAAAATTTTGAAAATATTTTATTACTGAAATCTAATAATTATTTATAATCATTTAATCATAAATTTTCATATATTATATTATTATATTAAAATCTGAAAATCATTACTTTAGTTATATTTTGATAAATGCGATATCTAGTCAATAATGTTTTCAGCTCATTTCATACATTTTCACAATAGAATCCTAATTTAGGTTTATGCAAAGCTTATATAAGAGTATTAAAAATTGTAGCTGTATCTAGATTAGGCCTATTCAAAAACGAATTCGAATCGAATAGTGCATTATTCCTATTCGATTTGTTTTAACCAATCGAATAATTTACTATTTGAATTTGTACGAATAATAAAATCTACTATTTGTATTCGATTCGAATTATTCTAATATTTCGAATAAATTTTTTTAATAAAATAAATCATACTCAAATATATTGACAAATTTTTTTATTACAAATTTGATTTTAAACAGAAAACATTATAATAATATGTAATCAATAATCTGATAATAAATAATATATAATCAAGTTATAAACAAAATTAAAATGTATATAATTAATTTAATTTATAATTTAAGCCATTTTTACGGCAAATAGTTTTTCTTTTATTTTCTTTCTTATATGACATGCGGTTTTTTGACAATAAATTAGTTCCAACTGAGAAAAGCCTTTCACAAGCAGTTGATGTTCCTTGTATAGATAGATAATCCCTTGCCATTTTCGAGAGTATGGGGATCCGATATGCATTTGCCTTCCACCACATACGAATCATTCTAATAATGTTTCTTAGTTTTAGAATTAAAGGATCTAAAATTTTTAAAATTTCTTTGGATATTAAATTAATTACATGGGCAAAGCATCATATGTGCCCTATTTTTATTAATGGATATTTTAAAGAAAATGTAGCAATAAATGTTTTATTATTAGTTGCATTATCTAAAGTTATATAAAAAAATTTATTCTCTAAATTATAATTTTTAATTATTTTAACAAAGGCTTTAAATATATTTTCACTTGAATGTGTTTCATTTATTGAACTGACATCCAAAATTACGTTATTTATTTTAAAACTATCATCAATAAAATGGGCTGTTAGCCCTAAAAAAGGAACCTGTGTTGCTAGTCCAAATGTCAGAAAAATTAATCTGACTTTTATTTTTATATATTTTTCCTCAACTGTTCTTTTTCTGCAAATATATTATACATGTGCAATTTAAGAGTATTGGAGCATATTGATTTTACAGAACAATCATCACTTATAAAATTTTTAAAATCATTTGAATTAATAATTTTAAAAGGTATATTATTATTTATCAATAATTTTAATAAATTATCCTTAAAATTAATTTTTTTTGAAGAATTTGGTGTAGACTTTAAAAAAAGGTCTATTTTATTATTTTTTTTACTAAGGTGTGAATGAAACCTATTATAATGATTAATAAGAGGAGTGTTTTGCCTTTACATTTTATAATACTCTTGCAATGATTGCAGGCAGCCTTTTCACCTTTAAGGATTTGATATTGATCCCATATGATTGCTCTCTTTTGTGAGGAAATTTTCTCATCTTCAACTTCAAGCATAATTTCATCAGAAGCATTCTCCTCTAACATAATTAAGCTAGCTAACAATAATTATTGTAGAGATGTAATATATTTTTATATACCTCTGGTTTATGTAATTTTTAATATAATTTATTATGAGATTCAAAAAATAAACTTTTCGTGAGATTCAAAAAATGTGGCAAATAAAAATGTGCTAGAATTTTTATAAACACAAACACATCACCTGTCAGATTGGCAGGTCAACAAATAGAAATGACAAATGTTAGATTTATTAAAGAATTTATTAAATATTACGAATAATTCGTTTTATTCGAATCGAATAAATGATTATTCGTATTCAGATACAACAAATAATTTATTATTCGTATTCGTAATTATTCGATTAGATTCGAATTATTCGAATTATTTTTGAATAGGCCTAATCTAGATACATTTTAAAAATTGTATCTGTATCAAGATAACCTTTTAGACGATGTATGGATCTAGATAACTTTTAAGACAATGTATCTGTATCTAGATCCATTTAAAAAGTATCTTTTATAGCTCAATACCAAGGTGATTGATAATAATAATAAAAATAGCGGGGTGATTGATAATAATAATAATAAGGGAATCAACCATATAATGGTTGATTTAGCAAAATAGTTAATAGATTGTACAAAAGATAAATGAAGCCACGTCGAACTAAGATAATTTCTACGAGAAATCGACAATAGCGACACACAAAGGAACTTAAGACACTAACAATCGTATAAATTCATAAAACACCATAAAGGGACGATAGGTATGCCGGGTGAGAGGTGAAAGGCGAAGTTGGGTTTTCATTTAGTGGGGGCGTGTTATGTGTATCGTGTTAGCGTGGAGTCATTTTGTATAATAAGCATTTTATTGTGATTAATATTTTTTTTGATTTTTTTTGCGCATTCATTCTTGTGATATATTAAAAGAAAATTGCTATTTTATAAATTAGAAAAAATTATTTTATTTTTTGCATTAATTAAATAGATAGAGAGAAAAAAAAGAAATAAAAATACGTTTTATATTTTTTTAGAAAAAAAAGAAATAAAAATTATTCTTATTCTTACGATTAAAAAAGAAAAAAGTGTTTTGAACGGAAAAAAAAATATAGACCTATGTTAATATTTCTTCATATTTTAGGTATATAAAAAATTAATTATAGTCTCAAGATCATCAACTATTTAATGATAATATTATATATAAATATCTTAGTTATCTTTTTGTCAGTGGCGTAGAGAAGATGGGGGGGGTTTAACCCCCCCCCCCATAACCACCGAAAAAATAATTTTTTAATTTAAAAAAAAATTCTAAAAACTTTTTTAGTAAATTTATTTTTAAAATTTTTTTCTTATTGCAAATAATTTTATATAAAAAATGGTTTCAATTTATAAATAAAATTATATACGATATGAAAATGAAATATTTAAAAAACAAATAAGAATTTTAAATTATAACATGGTTTAAAAATATATATTAAAATTTATATGTAAAATATTAAATAACAATAAAAATAAAATATATTGTAAATTTTTTCTGGCATAGTTAAATTAGATATTTATAAATTTAATAATAAAATTTATATTGTTAAACTAATTAGACAGTTTTAAAAATTTTAATTAATTTTTTATAATTTTTAAATAAAAAAAAAATCATTTAATTTGGTAAATATAATGAGAAAGTAAAGGTGATCGCTAATATGTTTGGGATTAAAAATTTTAAACCTAGAGTAGTTTATAGATAGTCCAATCGCTTAAATATTAATGCATCTACGATTGAGGATTTTTATAAAATAAATATTTTTACTCTCCTTAATGACACATTATTTATTAATCACAATTTTATTTTAAACAGCTTTTATTTTCTTTTGCTGGTTGAGTCTAAATACACTTTAAACGCGAGAGGATATTAAGAAAATCTCAGAGTTTTATTCTGATGAATTATCAGGATCGTATGATAAATTACTTTGTGATGTCGAATTTTGGTATAAAAATTTTGACAGAATAGAGTACTCTTTGAGACCAAAATATGCTTTGCAGGCTCTTTCCATGTATAATTGCACTTTAGATTCCCTGCCTAATATCAAAACATTGCTTTTTATCTTAGCTACCTTACCGGGTCTTTTTCAACTTTGAAAAGGTTAAAAACCTATTTAAGAAATGGCACCGGTGAAAGCCGTTTAAATGGATTCACAATATTAAATATTTATAAGGAGATTATTCTAGATAAAAATTTGATTCTAGATGAATTAACCACATCTTACAGAAAAGTAGACCTATCTTTATAAATTCAAATTATAAAATTGCTATATTATTATAATATGATCTTAGTCATAAAATTTTTATATTCATAACGTAATTATAATGAATTCTTAGTCATAATATTTATATATTATACTATTTTTAATAAAAATATTGCATTTGCACTAAAAATTAGTAATCTGCATCGGGTCTAATTTTTCAAGCAGGCCCGAAATTATTTTAAAAAAGTTTTGCCGGCCCGAACCCTAAATTTTTTTAAAAAAAGTTTTGTCAGTCTGGCCCGAATTTATTTAAATATAGAAATTCATTTTTATTATTACTCAAAATAAAAGATATATGTTATATGGTGTCTAGTTTGTATAAATAAAATCAAATATTTTTATTTTACTTAAAAAATTTAACATATTGATACACTTAGATATATTTAAAAAAATTTCCAAGGCCCGACCCAACCCGGCCCGAATTTTTTTAAATAATATTAGGCCCGACCCAGCCTGATCCCGATTTTCCTACTTTTGAGGATCTCTAATAAGAATTATTTATGTTTTATATTAATTATATTATAATTGTTAAATAAGATTTTTTTAAATACCGCACAAGAATTACTCATATTTTATTGTAATTCTATTTTTTTTAAATATAGTTATTTAGAATAAATTTTTAATATAATCTGTAAAATTTATTTTATTGTATATTATCATTAAAATAAATACATAGTTAATTAAAGGGGTGTTATTTATACTAAAGTATTTTAATAATAAATAAAATCTATAATGAAATTCTCTGAAAAATTTTGTTATATGCAAAAATTTAATTAAAATAATTATTTTTAACATAGAATAAGATATATTGAGTGATCATAAAAAATGGGAGGTTTGAGAGGCGATTTTATTCTTCTCTTTCTACACCGAATGGATTGAATTAATTTACAATTGACTAAACATTGATAAAATTTTCAGAATAATGCTTTCAGTCGCGTATTAATCATAAATTTGGCCAAAATTTTGTTACTAATATTTTTTTCATTTATGCTGGCTACTATAGTGGTTAGACACCAATAAAGCACAAAATTGGAAAATGCGGTTTGGGGGCGAAGCCCCCCAAAAAATTGAACCCCCCCCCCCATCCATGGATCAATCCTGGCTACGCCACTGCTTTTTGTTAAACATTCTTAAGTTTGTTCATCATTTGAAATTTCACCAAATGTTGCTTTGCACGAGCTTTTCATTTCAATATGAATGTTATAAATTGTGGCCAGTCAATACATGACAAACAATACTCACCTGTCTATTATACAGCGCGAATAATGGTTAATGCCTAAGGATTTATATAAATATCATTAATCATAATCATCAAACAAAAAAAATAAGTAACGTGATTTTTCTAGAAAGAGGTAATAAAATTTATTTAAAATATCTTTTTATTAGATTGCTCTATTATGAACTTATGTAAGATACATATCATAAATATACACATTTTGACCAATTTTGAGAGAAATCTGTCCAGATAAGAAGTTAAAGGGTGGTGACCAGTCATCAAATATGGTCATTTATGGCACATTTCCCTTAATAAAATTGAGAGTATCGGCTTTGAACTATTCTCAAAAGGTTGATGATACTGGTCTGGTATCTATAACTTTTATTCAGTCAAATATTGTAAATCGAATGCATTTTACCGATATTTACAAATAATTTGTGTAAAAATAATTTAAAATTATATTTCAACCAACTATACTATATGAATTAAAATTTAAAAGATATTTACTTGGGGTTACTAAGATGATAGCAAGCAGAATCAAAAAACAGACTGTTAAAATTACCAGGAGGGATATTAGTATGCCCTTCCAATTTTGCTTAGAAATAGCAGAATCTAGAATTTCCTTAATGGTTTATATTAAAAAAATAAAATAAATATCAACAGAACGCGCTTGGCCATAAGTAAATATAAATTGATAAATTTAAAATAGCTTTAAGAGCTGAGTTGATATCTAATACATAGCATAACATAATTAATAATGCTTGAAATTAATTTTCCTTTATAAAGAAAAATAATTTATATTTATTACTATATTGTTTCAAAATAATTATATCTACTGTAACTTGTACTAGTTACAAGCTATATTTATTTAAAAAAATAACTAGTTATAAGTTAAATGTAACTTTCATATCTAACCATTCCAGGGTTTGGCTTAGGCAGCATCGCGTATTATGTATCTTATTTTAACTTTTTGAAAATAACTTATATCAAGGATACAATTATTTAAAAATATCTGCATCTTAATTATTTTTTCATTCAAAAAGATACTACAGATACTTTGAAAAAAATTATTTAATTTATTCTTATAGTTAAAATTTAATTTAATAGTATTTTAAAATTTAAATGAATAATATATTATCATTTTGTATGATTTTATTTAGCTCAAAAATTATGGATGATGTAATGATATAGAAGAAGTTGGTGAAGATATAATTATAGAATCTGAAACAAAGCACAAGGAACAAATATAAGCTAAGTATATTAAATGGAACATTTTTGAAGTCACCCAATATACCAATAATAAAATAACTGAAAAGTGTGAAGAATGCCACAAATTTAAAAATAACTCTGCAAACTCACCTTTCGCTAAGCATCAAAAAGCATATTAAATAAATTTATTTAAAATCAGATTTATAATGATTTCCATTTCATATTCTATATCATTTATTTGTTAAATTTGGAAATTTTTCAAATTTAATAAACTTTTATATTAATGATTGATAATGAAAACGATGTTTAATATCATCTAAAATTGAATAAAATATGAAATAAATATTGAAAAACTAGAAAAGGCCAAAAAATGTTAAATTGAATTATGATTTAATTATTTATAATCTTTTTAAAATAAATTTGTTCCCTTTACAGAGTAAAATTATAATAGCAGGAGGAGACACAATTAATTATGTTGTCAAAAAATTATTTCAAATTGATTTTCATTTTTGCCAGCCATTAGCTATTTCACTATAAAAATCTCAAAAAAGATATTTATGAATTTGATATTGATTTTAAAACTGCATTTTTAAATATTATTTCTCACCCCTATTTTAAAAATTGTTATGGTATACGAAAGAAAAAAAAACACCTTTAAGATTTATTAATTAACAAAACATTATTTATTCTTAGAAATAATGTGTAAGTAAATGCGCAAACAAATTCGTTATTAGAAAAAATATCAATTACTTTTATTTTAAAGTAGCACATTTTGTTCAAATAATGCAGAAAATAATGTCGAATTAGAGGTAATGACAGATTGTTTTGGATAATATTAAAAAATAATGAGGATTTATTGTTAAATTCTTTGACTAAGTAATTTGATTTATTTTTCTGATATTATTTTCATTATTATAATATACAGTTTTAAAAAATATACAATTATATCTTTATTTGGCATTAGTGTTGTTAAAGGGATTGATTTGCCGATTTTTAAAAACAGCTAACTCAATATTTTATCAAGAATAATATTGCAACAAGCCTGAAGAGTTTGCCCATAGATGGCACAAAAGTCCTAACACCTATTAGCGAAATCTAGAGGCTTGGGGAATATTTTTCTGTAAAATATTGAGTTAGCCTTTTTTAAAAATTGGCTCAAATCGAGCCTTTTAACAACACTACACAAAAGTTTAGATATATACTCGCGGAATCGCGAAGCTTAGGCAATATTTTTCTGGCAAAAATATTGAGTTAGCCGTTTTTAAAAATTGCCTCAAATCGAGTGGTTATCAACACTATTTCGTATTATTTTATTTTGATATCATTTGATTTTGACTAATTAGAGTTTTTTTAAAAAAAAGAATCTTAGATACTTTTTAAAAAAAAAGATACTACCTTATATTTTATTGATTTTTAACAAATATCTGAAATTTTTCATATAAAATTTAAAAAAGTATCGGAAAATTTAATCAACTCTTGAACAATTCATATTACAAGCTTTATAAATTATATAAAAATATTATCATTTTTAAGACTGCAGAAGTACCATTTGTACGGCTTGGATTTTTTTTTTCAAAAATTTTTTTTCGGCCCAGCATGTGTTTTATTATCAGGCCCGGCCTTTTTTTTAAATAATTTTTATTTATTTTTAATTTTTATAGCTAATAATGGCGATTAAAATATTTGGTTATAAAATATACGGTTCGGCCCGGGTATTTTTTCAAAAAAATCAGGCCCGGCCCGGTGTCTCTGATTTTTATTATGCAAAATAATTTTGCGATTTCAAATTTTAATTAAATAATTTGAATAGAGAAATGATATCAGCGAAAATAATGTACCAGTATATAATTATATAAATAACACAGTAAAATATTTATTTTTCAAAAATATTTGGGGGAGACTGGGGTTAGGTGTGGGGCTTGGCAAACCATTTAATATTATTTTAAAATTATAAACACTAGAAGGTTAAAATTTTATCCTAATATAGATTTTATTAGTTTACATCTATAGACAAAAAATCTTTTGAAATGATTAATTATTAAAAATTTTATTTAAGAAATAAAATTTTGATGAAATTTTCTAAAGATTTTTACATGACAGAATTTTAATTTTTATTAAAATATATATTCATTTATATATAAATTAAATTTTATGGCAAAGTTTAAACACTCTTCTATAATTTGGGAAAGTTTTATGAATATTTATTATGTCTATATAATATTTCAATCATGATTAGTAAATTTAGAGCTAGCGGGGCTTGCTAAACCATACATGTCAATCCATTTCAATAATTTTTTTTAGCAATTATTACATTATTCGATATGGTGCGAAAATATAAATCCAAAAAAATTAATATAGGAGAATCATTTAATATTGATAATTATTTAGAAGTATATAAAAATTTAATGAATTAATATTATAATTGTAATTAGGCTATTAGGGTATATGAAAATTGTAAATCAACAAGGAAGACTAGCCAACTTACAGGTAAATTTATCTACATTATCTGTCTTATTTTTAAGATATAATCACAATATTAAACAATATAATCAATTTTTAGCAATATTTAATAATAGAAATTATGTAAATATTTTTATTAAATGTAATTTATAAATGATCTTATATTTTAGATTGATTACAATTTAGATGAAATATAGTATTATTGTATTAATTTTATGTAATTCTTAAACATTAAAATCAAATTTTAGCAATATTTAATAATAGAGAATATGCTAATAAAATCTAAATGGTAATGGTAAAGAGATTATCATTTTTAAATTTTATGTTCTTAAATGTTAAACTTATAATTAAATAATTATATATTTTATATGACATTTTTATTTTAGGTATTCCTAGATCAAACTTTATGAGGTATTATAAGAGATATCAAGAAAGTGGCATACTTACTAGTGTAGGACAAAATAATAAAAAGAGGATATTCACAGAAGAAGAAGAGGGAGATATAACTAAATATCTGATTCAATCTAGTCAAATTTTTTATGGCCTTTTAATTAAAAAGGTATAGTTTATTCTTCATTATTTTATATTGTTTTTTAGATAAAAATATTAGCCTACCAAATGGCAGTAAATATGAAGAAAAAATTTCCTAAATCTTGGAAGGACAATTCAATGGCTGGCCATGACTGGTATTTAGGATTTATGTCAAGAAATCCTACTCTCTCCTTAAGATCCCCTGAAGCTACAAGTATGGCTAGGGCAACTGGATTTAATGAAGAAAATGTTCTATACTTTTTTGATTTATATAAAAGTTTATTAAATGATTTGTTAAGTAAATGTTTACATTTAATATTTAGGAATATTAGATGAACATAAATTAGAATCTATGGCAATTTACAACATGGATGAAACTGGACTTACCACAGTTCAAACCCCATCCAAGATAATTGCACAAAAGGGGAAAAACAGGTAGGATCTATGACTTCTGCAAAAAGGGGTACCTTAATAACATTAGCTCTATCAGTAAATGCAATTGGCCATGCATCTCCTCTAATGTTTCTTTTTCCCAGGAAAAAATATTATGATTATTTTGTTAGAGATGGTCCATCTGGCTCTGATGCAATAGGAGGATTTTATTATTTTTTTGAAACATTTTTCTAAACACACTCGGTGTACTCCAATGTCCAAACTGTTATTAATCCTTGACAATCATATATCACATCACTTCTATTCAGCTGTCAAATTTTGTATAGATACGGGAATAATTCTATTATCTTTGCCACCCCACTGCACCCATAAATTATAGCCTCTTGATAGGTCTGCTTTTGGGCCTCTCAAAAAATATTACAATAATGCACTTCATTCCTGGATGCTTAGTCATCCAGGAAAATTATTTACAATTTATGATATTCCATCAGTTATTGTCTTGCCTTTAGCAGCATCACCTCTCAATATATCAAATGGTTTTAAAGCATGTGGAATATATCCACTGAATACAGATATATTCAATAAAGAAGATTATGTGGCCTCAGTTTATGGAGATTCTATATGTGAACTTCCAAAAAGCCCATTATTAGAATAAGCTCAGTATCTTTGGTATTAAAAGATATTTTAAATACTAATAAAAACTTAGATATATGTAATGATACTCCATCTACGTCTTATGTTCATTTAGATAATATTCCTGGACCATCGTGCAATTTATCAATATCCTTGCCTCATCCCAAAAAGGAAAGAGTCAAGAGAGTTAAAAGGAGAGCAGAGATATTTACATCATCTCCTTATAAAAAGAAATTAATTGAGAAAGAAAAGAAAATAATGGAAAAAGAAAATATTAACAAGAGAAAAATAGTGAAAAAAATTATTCACAAAGATATTTGTGTTTGTTGTAAGCTGGAATATATCAAACATCATAATGGTGAAGAGTGATACCAGTGCAGAATGCCACGAATGGGC